CACATATTGCCCTATGACAATGGTTAACAACCCCACGACATGTCAACACTGTCCTTTCTCAACCTTGGGTTCCCTATCACCAGCTTTCCTGTCCCTTCCTGCCTTCTAGTCCTTGTCCCTGGACTGGTATGCCTCATTAGTCCCATTTTGTTTTACGGGGCTGTCCAATCCCCGGCTGAACAGTGAACCTTGGGAGTGACTTCACCACTGAGCTAAAAGGGTGTCCAGGGGCCATACTCTCGGGGTTTCTCCAGCCTCTGGCAGGCCAGTAAATCTGGTCTTTTTTTTGTGTTAGAATTTTGTTCTACATCCTTCTCCAGGTCTGTCCAGGACCCTCTGTTGTGATCCCGGTCAGAGCAGTCAGTGGTGGTAGCCAGGCACCATCTAGCAAGTACTGGACTCAGTCTGTTTGAGGCCTTGGTAGCTGTGTGTGGTCCATTAGTCCTCTGGACTGATCTTTTCCTTGTATCCTGTTCTCTTTGTATATTTGTATAGTCATATATTTAACTTATGCCCAAGGTAGTACCTACACTTGGAAGGAAATGTAAGGATCACCAACAAAGAACAATTCTTCCCTGTACAGACTGACATATTAAGAGAGATGTATAATTATAGAAAGCCTATCAAATCTCTAATGACTTATTCAAAGGAAAAAAAAAAAAAAAGACTTTTAGGCTGAGTGGGAGGAAAATCTAGGCAGTGGAAGCTGACCTCAGCAAAGAAAACCAAAAGCCACAGCGTCGTGAGAAGTCAATTTCTTTCCTTTAATTCCTTGTAATTCTCATGATTAATACCACTTGTGATAATAAACCCTCACGTGGAGAAGATTAAATCAATAGTTGAATTAGTAATGGCGAGTATAGAGAACACCTTTGAGTTGACAGCATATGGATTTGGACTACAGACAATTCAACTGAGAGACAGAGGATGCATCCACAGGCAGAAAGACTTGGAAAGGAGAAGGCTCCCATGTCAAAAAGGATCAACATTTTTGTCAAAAAAGCTAGCCAAGTAAGAAAGGGCTAAATAACAATATGTGATCCATAAACTATCTCTAGTAGTATCCAGACTTCATTAAAGGCCAAACCAGTCTATAGTAAACTAATGGAGAGCCAAGTAGAAGAAAGTTACTAAGTCCTCGCCCTTCGTTTCTATCTTAATGGCAAAATAGTCAGATTAGAATATGATTTACACTTTTCTTTTCCCCTAGTTTCTCTTTCTCCCGAGTAGTTTCATATTTCTCATCCAGTACTTCAACCATGACTTAGCTGGTACCTTTATGAAATCTTCTCGTAAATAATCATAGAATAAACATACATTATAATATGATAAACACACGTTTTGGTATGAATCATCAGCAATATTTTCTAGATGTGTTCACAGAAATCTAGAACTCAATCAGAGAAGGTAATGTACTCCCTGTGAGGACTCTTAGGTACTAGTTTTTGATTTTTAGGGGACTTGACAGCCAAGCTTTCTGAGAATCCAATTTCCAGCCCAAAGCTTTCTGAGTCCAACTTCAAGCCCAAAGGAAACCTGCTTTCTTTTAAAGAAAACAAATCTTTCAATCTTACATACTTCATTTTTCTGCATATGCTTTTTTTTAAACTTAATTTGGAAATAATTTCAAACATAAAGAAGTTGCAGTAATAAAAACAGTACAAGGAACACCTGAATGCCTTCTACCCAGATATGCCTACTGGTAACATTTACTCCACTTGTCTTATCATTTGTGCTCCCTCTCTAAAATCAGTATTTTTTCTGAACCTTTTTTTTTTAAAGCATGTATGGAATATACACCATTTGGCCCTTTACCATAAATACTTCAGTGTGTATTTTCTAGGAAGAGGGACAGTCTCTTCCATAACCACAGTACAGTTGTCACCTCAGATTCACACTGATACACTTTCTCTAATATACGTCCATATCCCAGTTTTGTCAGTTGATGTAATAATGCCCTTGAAAGCATTTCCCCTCCAGTAAAGGGTCCAGTTCAGGGGTAGGGGCTGCATTTAGTTATTTATCTTCAGGCTCCTTCAATCCGGAATATTTGTCTTTGTCTTTTATAAGCTGCATTTCTTCTTACCTCAGACTATAGGAATCCTTTACTTTTTAATAAGTTATGCTTGGGGAAAAAAGTAGCTTTCAGAAAAATAGGTTTCACATGGGAAAAATCAGAGGTGCCAGGGCAGGATCTAGAATCGGTTTAAGCAATTTTTCTTAGAAATAATGTGATGTTGTGAGTAGACTAAGGACATCGTGCTGATGGAGGAGCCGGTTTGTGAACTGGCACACGGTCCTTGAAGATTTAGTTCCAGGAATTTTTAACTTTGACTGCCTTCTGCTCAGGACTCCAGAACAGCACATATTTCAAGTCTTCCTGTGTGCTGAAATCTCTTCTCGAAGACGCAACAGAAATTGTTAACAAAAGGAAGGGCATTTTGATTAACTCAGAAACTGCAGTAGAAAAGTTGGCCTTTTGCATGGCTAATCACCTGGGACTAAAGAGCAAAAAAACACATGCTCACTTCCATTTAATGTGAACCTTGTAAAACATGTAAATAATTTTACCGAAATAGATTTAACAATTCAAAACTGACTTTCGGAAACTTTCTAATTTTAAAACTAAGACGACACTCACTCACACCTTCTAGAATGGCTATTATCAGAGAAAAGGGCACCAACGAGTGTTGGGGGGGATTTGGAGAAACTGGAACCCTTGTGCATTGCTGGTGGGAACGTAAAATGGTGCAGCCACTATGGATAACAGTGTGGCGGTTGGTCAAAAGGCTAAACATAGAATTACCATATAACTCAGCAATTCCACTCCTACGTGTATGCCCAAGAGATACGAAAGCAGAGACTCAAACAGATAATTGTATACCAGTGTTCATCGTAGCATTATTCACAAGAGCCAAAAGGTGGAAACAACCCAATTGTCCAACAACAGATGAATGGATAAACAAAATGTGGTCTACACATATGACGGACTATCATTCAGCCATAAAGAGGAATGAAATCCCGACACAGCACCATACTATGAGAATCACTGCTAGACAGGCTGCCTCAATAGCTGGATTATCAAATGTTTTCATTTTTGACAACCTGATTGGTAAAAATGGTATCACACTGTGGTTTCCACTTTTAGTTTTCTTATGAAGGATGATGTTGATCTTTGTCTTACCAATTTGCAGGAGCTCTTTCTACATTAAGAAAATTATTATTTTGTTTGTGATTTATTAATATTTTCTTTCATGGCTTCTGGGTTTTGTTTACACTTAGAAGGGTCTTTCCACTCTATGCTTGTAACTCCCAATCCCATTTCTCCTAGGACTTTTAAGGTATTACTTTTACTTTAAAGTCTTAGCTTCACTTTAAGTCTTATAAGATGCGAGCTATGATCCTCCTTTAGTTTTTACAGAGAGATATTCTGTTGTTCCACACCACTTATTGAATGATCCAGTTTTGAGAAAGAAACTCAAATTCTCTTATATTATGTATCTTTATCTGTAAAATGGTGAAAAGGAACATAATTTAGCTACTACATGAAATCATAGTAAGGATTAAATGTGGGAGAAAGAATTTTGGAAAAATTGTAAGGCAGTAAGAAAATAAAGA